TCTTGCCAATAATGCCGAAGGGAGGCAGGGGCTGCAGCTGCAGCTCCTGCTCGTGCTCTTGCCAATAATGCTGAAGGGAGGCAGGGGCTGCAGCTGCAGCTCCTGCTTGTGCTAATGCCAATAATGCCGCAGGGAGGCAGGGGCTGCAGCTGCAGCTCCTGGTTGAGCTGGCGTGGGAACAGGCCAGAAATAGCCTATTCCGAAACCCAGTTTTCGTGCCTGAATCTTAGGGCAGGTCGAAACAAATGAGGGCCTAAAAATAGCCCAGGGCCTAAGAATAGCCCTTTGTTTCAGGCTGGAAAAACTCTGGGTCTGAAAGACCCAGAAATAGGCTGAAACGGAGTAGGGCCTGCAGGGCCTCGTTTTCAGTTTTCAGGCTGAAACGACCGGGGCCTGTAGCTCCTAAGTCTTAGGCTTTAAGGCTGAATGTCCGAGACGGGTCGTACAGGGCCCGTGTGGCTACACAGTCTGCCACACTTGTGCAGGTCTGCGGAATCATGTGGGATCCGGCTAAACACCACTTTTCACTTACAGTACATAGTGTGGGATCAGACTCGTAGATGGGAAGGATGAGTGGGGGAAGGGAAGTCGGGGATGGAGAGAAAAAGGAGCCCCGGGAAGAGTTAATTGGGATTGGGAGCCAGAATGAGGCAGGATGAGTGGGGGAAGGGAAGTCGGGGATGAAGAGAAAAAGGAGAGCCCGGAAGAGTTAATTGGGATTGGGAGCGAGAGTGAGGCAGAAAGGGCGGCGGGGTTGCAATGCGCAGTGCACGGCAGCAGTGAGGAGAAGGTCAAACGTGGGGGAAGGAAACAGCGGAGGAGGCGCGAGGGCGCGGGGAAGGTACAAAACGGTCCGCGCGGGAAGAAGAAACGAATATATGGTGGAAGGGGGGGGGGAAAGAGGGCAGGAGGAAATCGGGCGCAGGGAAGGGGGAAATGGAGCATAAGGGATCGGGGTCGAAATCGTCAATTGCGCGGCAGGCAGAGGTTGAAGCCGGCTTTGCGAGCGGGAAGGTGGCTATCGGAGCCGAAGGGTGCAGTCGGGAGGAGAGCGGTGGGAGGGATGACGGTGAGGAGGTGCACCGTCAGAGATACGCCATGGGAGGGATGACGTTGGGAAAGGCAATCAGGGAGAATTGCGGGTAATAAGGGGCATGGAGTGGAAACGGGATGCCCGGATCTTGGAGCAGTATAAGGAGAGCACAAACTAAATGACAGCTGACCTGATGAACGGTTCGCATTATCACAGTGCAAAGTGTACAGGCTTACCTGTGCGTCACTTAGTGTACAGGCTTAGCCGTGCGTTACTTAGTGTACAGGCTTAGCCGTGCGTTACTTAGTGTACAGGCTTAGCCGTGCGTTACTTAGTGTAC